AATATATATGTATAATATCTGTCTTATACTATGATGAAATAAAAATGAATCATTAAAAACTATTTGCTTTGACGGTAATGCATCAGTTTTGAGTCCTTTTCTTAAGATACATTTGTAGCTATTAAGTATATGGGGTTGTAATGGACATTTAGTTAGTATTCAGTATTCAACCTGCTTGTCATTTTTACTGAATATTTAATGTGGCCAGATATTAATATCTATGTAACAACTGATAAGTTGAAATTTTCTTATCATTTACCATGAGTGGTATAACCTAAGACTTACTACAAGTAGTTGGAAGTGGAAATTATAATAAATAACAAATTTAAGAGGCCATCATTAGTGGATAAATGCAACATGTTTCTGCCACACAATTCCAACATGTCCAATTTGAACCCCAGAAAAATTGAAAACTGTGTGTATAACTGCTTGGGACCTGTAAGAAGGTATCTTTGTACCAAATCCCATGTAAGTTGGTTGAAATACACATGAATAGTTCCCAAAACCCAGAATTGTGCTTTCCTTGGTGAAAAATTGAGCAAAGGACAAAAATTCCAAAATTGACTGTATCTCTGTTTGGGACCTGTAAGGAATATCTTTGTACCAAATTCTAAGTAAATTTGTTGAAACAAGGCTAAGTAATTGACCAAACCCACTAATATTATGGGTTTATTTAACCTTTTAATATAATATGCAGCATAACAACAACAGCCCTCTTCTCATTGAGTGAGTACATATGGCTATGAGATTGTGTTATTGTACAAAACCCACTCGTGAGGAAACCTCCACGATCCCCCACTCCAGCGACTGGGAACCAGAAGTAGAAAAGACCACCGTGCTCCACTAGAAGAAAGGGAAGGGGATGGATGCATTGGGTGATCCAGAGGAAAGACTGACTGGAGACAGTGCAATGGGTATCTGCATTTCACTATTTTGAAAAGCAGAAAGACCCAGATTGTAAGAATCACAGGTCAGTAGAGATGGGCAAAAATGCCTATCTGCTTTACTCATGGAGTCCTTCAGTGATGGTCCTTAGGATATATATATACAGATATTGATATTGATAAAAAAATGTGATACATATAGATAAAGATACACCACCGGTCTTACAGAAACACCCCCATCTCCACAGTGAGCATTGGAGTATACAGTATACAGACATAGTGCTCAAATATAAAATTCAGCATACCTGACCAGGCAACACCTGTCACCAGGTGGGATCCTAAAATATGATGTATAAGCAACGGTATAAAAGAGAGAAAAAAAAATGATGACTTACCCCAGGCACAGGTGAACAGACATGTGTCGATTGGCACAGGAGGAAGATGATACCTACCCAAGGAAGACACAACAAAGTTGTGCAGAGAAAGAGTGAAGAAAGGTTAGGGAGTTGTTCACATACTGGCCAGAATGATCCCTTCAAACAATGGTGGAGTTGAGCAGCTAAAGACACAGTTAGATGATGAATTAGGTGTGAAGAATAATATGTAGATGGTGATTGGACAGGGACACATCCAAATACACCAGGTGTAGGGGTTGACAAACCCAACCCATGAGCATAATATGAGAAAGATCAGGGGAAACAGGAATGCCATGGAACAGTCAAAAAAGAACGAGAACAACGAAAGGAGACAGTACGATCCAAACAACAGAGCAGGGAACAAACTGGACAAAGGAGATGATCTGGAAACGAATGGGAAACAAATACAGGTGGGAAAAGGAAGGGATTGAAAGGGAAGAAAAGAGAAGGCAAAACAATCTACCTGGGCAGCCAAAGTCCAAGGAAGGAATGCCAGATCCAGATAATGAAAAACATATGAGAAATGGTAAATTATGTCATAAAAATCGGAATGATGAAGACCACATACCAGGAGGGGGAGGATTGAGGTCGGAAGAGAAATATCCTACAAGGAACAAATTGCAATGGGTTCAAAGGGAAGACTGGACAGGATAGAAAGAACAATATGGAGATCCCAATCCAGCAGAACAAAGAAAACCTGTCAGAAGGACTAGATCAAAGAAATGGAACAACCCAAGGAAGAGAAACTTTCTGGAAGAGGGAGAAAGGAGGGAGTTTGACAGGGCAGCTCTATAAAAAGTAACAGTTGAAACAGACAAACCTTGAACAAACTACCAAATGAAGAGCTGGGACAGGTGAGGAACAAAAGTAGTGGATAGATGGAAACCCTGGGAAAAAGACCAGAGACTGAAGCAAGACTTGTGCTCCTGGTACATAGACAAAGAGGAAGGGCCTAATCTGGAGCAACCAACAGAACACAAGAAGAAAGGGTTTAGAAAAGGGAAAAGACCCACAAGAGGAGTAGTCTGAATGAAGAATAGGCATATAGGGGTGAGCCCCTGAACCATGGCACTTGACCAGACAAAATTCACTCTGAAAGAAGGAGTGTGGAGGCATCTGGATGAAAAACCATCAGATCGAGGAAAACTAAGGAGTGGACAGGACAGAGAAAAGGATAAGGTGTGTTGCTCCAGTAAGGACCAGAGCAGAGGGAACCACATTTGAGTCAAATTGGAGGATAGGCATATAGGTGAAGACCCCTGCAATAATGATTGAAAGCATCTATCTCCACAGCTGAAGGGTGAGGAACTGAAGACTACAAGGAAGAAAGTGTGGCACACTAGTGAATGGGGAACACATATAAATATGCAGTGTCCCCTGTTGAGAACACACCCACAGAAAAATGTAAGGATGAAGTGACCACATCAAGGTCATTGGTCCAATACATAAAATCCAGAGTCTGACCATACAGAGATTGGTATGTGGTTCCCCCTTTCTAGGTGATAAAGCTGACGATAGTGGAATTGCATAAAGAACCAAAACCATTCACTCCTGCAGGAAAGGGTACAGAGCCCAATGAACTGCCAAGGTACCAGGATGTGGATATGGTGAGTAGCCTCCTCAACTGACCACTGATCCAAAAACTCAGGGGAAATGAGGAATATGAGCAAGTCCAAGGGATCGTGAGGGAAGTTCCACTGGTTGAGAAGTATCCAGTGAAGGAAATGCATGTGTGTCTGACCCAAGGAAATGAGCATTTCCAAGGAAGACCACCTCCCAAAAGAGAGGGAACCTCACAGACATAGAGAGAAGGAGAAGGGATGGAAATCATAACTGTTCCATCAATATCCTGGAGCCAAAGTACAAAAGACTGGGCTTGACAAAAAAAGGAAGTGAAAAGAAACCTACCTGAGATGCTTCTCAAAGAAGGAAGTGGCTGTGAGTGACTGACCAGGCACAGGAAAAAGCAAGCAGAAGCCTGTCATCCATGAAAAGTATACCACTCCATAAAACATATACAGAATTGAAGAAAGACAGTCTATTAGCACTCAGAACAGGAAGGCAAAACTCACCTAGAGGAACCAAAGATAAGAATCTGACACTGGAGCATAAAACCCACCAAAGTGAGAGATAGGGCTCGATGGTGAAGTGAAGCAAATGCAGATAAATATACAACCAGGACAGATAAAGAAATGGACTTTAAACTTCCATGTATAGAGAGACAAAGTAGTACAAAAGTAAACTCTTGGTTGAGTAGGCTCCACACATTAGATAGATTCATTGTGTTGTAAGACACAAACAGACTGAGCAAGACGACTGGACAAAAAGACACATAAACTAAAGAAAATACACAGAACTAATAAACTAACAAAAAATTAGAAACATGTAATCTACACAGAGCTTAAAAGTAACACACCTGCAAAACTAAGAAAATCCACCTAAAACAATAAGTAACACCTAAAGTACAAAACCACTAAAGGGACTGATAAGATGATCCTTAAACATAGAACATAGAAGTCAACTCAAAGAAACTATGAGACAAAGGACATGAAAAGAAAACTTACCCTAAAGAACATGAAAATAAAAAGCCACCCAGTGAACAGAAACAAAGGTTGTCTCAAAACTTATTCCCAATTAGATGTGACCAGTAGTAATGGTACAAAAAAGAAACTTATAACTAGATAACATTAACAGTGAAAAAAAATGTAAAATATTAAACCAAATTAATGCAAGAAACCAACTTGAAACACAAATTGTAAACTAAAGCAACCTAGATGGTAAAAGAAGTATAAAATTCGAACTTACACAACACTCACCAGAGAAGAGATGAATGATGTAAATTATCAAGTGGGGAAATTACATCTATACACACGAGCTCACATAAACTCATTGAAAATGGGTATATCTACTGGGAGTGAGAAATATACACTGAAAAACTTAGCACAAATCTCCTGGGAAAAAGAACAATACCTATCTTGAAAGGAAAAATTGCTGGCCAAACATAAGACATGAACTCCCCACAAATGAAAGTCTGTGCTTCCTTAGCAAACATTGTGAAACCTGAGACTGAGGCCTAGTGTAATAACCGCTCTCTGCTAATGGTGGGAAAATTATCAACCACCATAAGAAACCCAATTTCATATGAACAAAGTATAATTCAGGAAACAGAAACATCTGAAAAACGAATGAGTAGAAACTTGAACTTGAAACTGATATTAATTCGTGACCAAGCACGATAAAAAAATGTGCAGTCATGTGAAGAATGTAAAACACAAATCTATACATGGGAATGCCAATCAAGAAAGCAAAGAATGTGCTGCAAGGGTAGAGGGAGCTACCTGCACTAGTATAGATGGTGAAATGGGATTGGTCAGCACATGTTGCTGCAACAATGCAAAAGGTATAGGGGTATAAAAGACTGGTATGCTTTTAAAAAGTTTACCAATGCCTAGAGGGCAAATGAAGGTCAAGAGAGCTATAGGTGAGAATAGGTAGTACTGTTTCAGAATTCTGATGAAAGCAAGTTACCTAAACAGATTAAGAACTGAAAATAAATTGAGTACTGAATATAGCTAATTTAATATGCTGTACATACATCCTTAATTATAATAATCAGTGAGCATTATTTCATCAGATAGGCACCCTTTCTATTAGCAATATATTTGACAATAATCCCAATAAAATCCAAAGAAGTTCAGCCAACTTACGAGTAAATTATTAGGAAGTTAAAGAACATATGAGTGAAGGCAGGAAGAATGTATAACAATGTGTGAGTCATACTATATCTGTTATGTTCAGTGCTGATGAGGTCTTCCACCTAATACCAGGACTCATAAATTAGTCCTACATCAATATTCTATGCAAAAAATAAGGTATTTCTCAACTTTTAACAATAAAAGTATCTTTATTTTAATGCTTTCAAAGTATCATGCTGCATCTCAGAATTACACTATATAATACATTTAGGTTCTTTTCATTACTCTTTTAAATAATTTGTTGTACTTTGATATCAGTTATTTCACACACTGGTTCACTATACGTGGAATTCTTTTTGGGAATGAAACATTTAAGTTTTCTTATTCAGTGTACGCTATGCAAATAATTTGAACATTTTGCCACATGAATGAGAAAGAAAGAACAGATCAAGCTTACCATGCAATTTTGTATTATGAACTGTTCTCCATTTACTGTACCCGGTAATCTTCCAGCAGTTTCATCCTTCAAGTTTTCTATGGTAAAATCTTTTGGATTGAGCTTTTTCTTGTTATCCCTGGAACATATAATATGCCTCAAATGAAGGCTAACATAATGGCGTAACAAAGAATGTATGTTACAACCAGAAGTTACTTTGTAAGTTTGGTATTTAAAAAGAAACACAAAGTGAAATAGTAATTCGTTCATCTGATGGTATTGTTTTAACTCATTGTTTACATGTAGAAAAGAAAAAAGTATAATACTCTTCAAATACAAATACAGTATAAATGCTTAATTAAGAGAAATAACAGATAGTGTTTATGCTAAATTCCAAACATCCAAATATTCAGTCTCTGAATAGCTGATATATTTATTTAAACAATCAGTTTCACAGGACATACAAGTAAATAATAAAGCAAGTATGAAATTTTGAAATAAAAAGTAAACAAATTACAGACTAAGTAGGATGCAATATCAGTACTTTAACAGACTAATATAGTACTTCCAGGTGAATATTCATATTGTAGTTAACTCCCTCTAGTGTTGACAGTGTCAATGCTTCTGTAAGTCTGAACCTGTAGTATATCTGCAATATTCAGTAAACAACACATTTTAAAACCTGTCATTTGCATTACAAGTACTATAACTTAGTTGATGATTGCTATCAATGGTGTGAAGAGTGATTCAGTGGTAACCTTTGTGTTCACTAATTATTATTAATGATCTAAAAAGCAAAAAAAAATTCTTGTGCAAGATTACGTTGAATTACTTCTTAATTTTAAAGTGAAGTTCCAATTGTGTGGCATATTAATTTCACTTGTAGGCATAGGGAAAACAGCTTCTACTAGCTCAATATACAATCATCTTAACTATAAGCATGTTCTAGAATACAATAATTTGTCACAAATTTCAAAGCTTATTGGATCTAATACTGATGATGAAAGTGTGGCTTCAAATTCCAGGGTTTTGCCAAACAGTATATCATTCAGGAGTGTTTCCATAGAAAAATATGGGAATTAATGATCATTATGCTAAAGAATTATTTTTTGCAATTGGTGAGACACTTGAATTGGATAACCAACCCTATTACTTCACTGCCAACAGAAGGTTTATTTACTTGAATAAACAGGGGTATCAAATTTTTATTATCAAATGCTTTCTTTAACAAACAAAAAACAAAATAAAACTGGCATTAACAAGTATTAAAGTGTAAAGATATATTTATTTTAATTTTCCATGTCTAACAATTGTGTTTGACTTGCTTATATTTTGTTGCCTAGTGATGTAGTATCACTGTTCACACTGTAACATGTAATGATTTCATTCCATTATTCAACTGTATTCACCTGATAGAGCTAGCTAAACCTAGCAAAAAACACTGATCTTTAAAAACATATTACTTCTTTTATCCATAATGTTGATTGTATTCACTGTTAAATAAAAGCAAAATACTAAGGTATATTTTATCTTTTTGTGTGTTTTGTGAGACGGGAAAGTGACAAGTAGATTTTTAAGAAGTAAGCAAACATTTTTCTAGCATTTTGTCACTTAGACAATAGTTGTTTTTTCAAAAATACACACCCATCAGAAAGCATGCCACAAGATGATGCAACAGTTGAATGTTTTTAATGCAACTACAAATAGATTCTGTTTTTCAGAAATGCCATATGAAGCATCAATGTTGGGCAATAGGAGATTAGTGTATCAGAGGTTCATACAAATGATGCCAATAAGTTTTGAGAGTGACTCGTTTTAGAGAGTAGTATCTCTACTAGATATTCCAAAAACAGGAAAGAAGCAAACTAGATGATGGCAAAGGAGTTGTTTTTAGCCAACCAGTGGAAAAAACCAGCCAGATGCAATGGACACAACAGCAGCTCAGGTAGAAATCTTGTGATTCCATTAGAACACAGGAACCTACAACAAGTTATTGAATTGAAGAAAAGGAACTTGGCATAGTGGTAGATAAATCATTCAAGACATCAAGGTATTATTCTGTTGCTAGTAGTACAGCTAATATATATTAGGATGCATTTACAGACACATTGATTATAAGTCAAAATAGGTAATTATCTCTATATACAAATCAATAGTTAAGCCTTGCTTGGAATACTTTAGTCTCCTTACCTAAGAAAGGATACTGGTTTATTAGAAAGGGCTCTTAGGAAATTTGCATGGATGGAATATCTTATGGGGATTTGTAAGTTCAGATTTCTTATTTTCTCTCAAGAAAGAAGAGTAAGAAATAATCTTTATGAATAATAAATGATTAACCCGGAGATTGGTATAATCAAAACCTCTGATTCTTTTGTGCTATATCCTGAAGAAAATAGGATACAGGTTTAAGATTTGGAAAAACAAGTAGGCTCCAATTAAGATCATATATTTTTTGAAAACACGATTAGTTTATAGAATGAGTTGTCAACAGTAGAAGTGATGTTTGTTTGTAATTAAGCAAAAAGCTACACAATGGGCTATTTGTGTTCTACCCACCATGGATATCAAAACCAAGTTTCTAGTGTTGTAAGAGTGCAGTAATACCACTATGCCACTGGGGGCAGCAGAAGCGAAGGCTGGCACCTTATGGGAGTTTAAAAAGGGGGAATTGATGAATTCCCTAAAAATAAAGGATGAGTATAAATTTGTATTTTGAAACTGAACATAGACACATTTCCAGATCTATCTCAATTAGCACAAAGATTCCTATAAGCCCCATCCAGCTGTGTATAGCAAGTGCCAGCAATAATTATAAGGCAAAGAGAAATCAAATAATTCTACAAAATGCATAGTGACTACTGTTTTTACAACCTCAAACACTTTTAAGTACTGAATGAGGATAGCTAAGTGAGAAGTCATAATAAGAAAATGAACATTGTGATATACCTTCAACATATAATAATAATAAGTAATAAGCTTAATGTGTTGCACTGAAATAAATGTAGTTTACATTTATGCAAGACAAAAATATCTAAGTCTACTAAATAGTTTTTCCAGAAATATATTGATGAATATATATTAATAAGAAAACAGCAAATTATATTAAAAGAAGTAAAATATATATATTATATTCCTTTAAGAAAAATAAGTTATTGATGTCTTAATTATTTTGCAAAAGACTGACTAAAATAGGCTTAAACTGATAAAAATCACAATGACTGCTTATAGAACCACAAACTTTCAATTACCACACTAAAATCAGTTCAATTGATTTTAAGTTTAACAAGATTTGTTTGTCTGCAAAAACAAAACAGGATCATATTATATGGAAAATAACAAGATTAAATGGGTTTATGCACATATGTTACTGATAACAAAGTTTAATACGTTTTGTAAACATTACTAAAACAAATCAACCTTAATTAATTACTATACTTTCTTGGAGCTAGTTATGTCTCTGCAGAGAAACATACAGTTTTTCTATTGTTTCTTCTCCTTTCAAACACTTTTCAATCGACCACTATTCCTTCACTTCCCAAATGATTGACTTGAAACTTGGTAGGGTTATATCTTGGTCCAATATTCCCAGACATCTTATTTCATTTCTTTGGTTTAGGACTTTTTTAAGAATATTATGGAGTAAAATGTCGACCAACCCAAAAATGTATATTCTTGGTTCCTGTTCAGTCATATTTATAGCAATCAAGATGAAAATTGGCAAAAATATAAATTTCATGTGCCCAATACATAGACATACAAAAAGTTGAACTTCCCCATTTTGAGTCTTTTTTCTTAGGGAGGTCAGAGCTCACAAAAACTATAATTTGAGGGTTTTTGGTCAATTACTTGGCCATATTTTGACCAACATACATGACATTTAGTAAAAAGATACTTTTCTACAGGTCCCACACATTGACAAAAAAAATTGTGAACTTGTCAATTCTTAATAATTATAGGGGGTCAAGATGCTGCAAAAAGCATAATTTTAAGGTTTTTGGCAATTATTCCACTGTATATTGGCCAATTTACATGGGATTTGGTACAGATATATGTTTTTACAGGTCCCATACACATACATACAAAATTGTGGGACATGCACATTTTTGGTCATTTTAGGAGGGGGTACACACATTACGGCATTATGTCTATTATGCAAGGCACTTACGTGTTGTTTTTGTCCTTGGACTGCACTTGGCATGATCCAATGCATACCAAGGGATGTTTTCTGCCCAGGTGGTCTGCACATGACTTATTCATATGCAGTCCTCTGTCCCTACCCATGTATTCTCTTCATTTTTACCCTACGTGTCTTATCTTCTTTACTGGGTGAAGAGCATACCTGTTCCAGAAGTAGTGCTATGTCCCACAGGTGTGCCTTGTATTTTAATAGTGGCATACCTGCTTTTTTTCATAGCTGTTGCTCTCCACTTGATTATTTGTTTTTGTGCCTTCACTGACCCCCCTCCACCTTTCCAGTGTGGGATTCTAGCTATGTGGTAGTGAAAGTAGTATTGTTTCAAAAGTTAACATTTTCTAACACTAAAAATGTATTTTCATAGCTACTTACCTCCTCTCACCCACTTCCCACCCTTCCTCCCCACTGATTTGCTGGTGTTTTGGGGTTTATATATGCCAATTCTTGAAAGTGAGGATTGTGCTGCAATGGTAGAGGAAGCTACTTGCGCTAGAATAGAGGGTGTGATGGGATTGGTGGAGGTGGTCATATTATCAGCACACGTTGCTGCAATGACACAAAAAATATTGGGGTATAAAAGACTGGTGCACTGTTCATAAGATTTACCAATGCCTAGACGGCAAGTGAAGGTCAAGATAGCTATAGGTGAGAGGGGTTAGTACCTATCGGAAATACATTTTCAGTATTAGAAAATGTTAACATATATTCTTAGTATAAGAATTATTATGTTTTCATTATAACTTTTTTTGTAGAATGTGTTCTTTACATTTTGATTACTTAGCAAATGGGAAAAATGTTTAAGCAAGGTATTTAAACCATTAAATTAATGTAAAACAGGTGAGAAAATATTAACTGTGTAGGGTTTTCTAACAAATGTAATTTAACCAGCACAATCTTTTGTTTTTGAGACCTGGATAGGTTAAAATAAAATTTAATACTTTTTAGGCTTCTTGCCTATTACTATTTGCATATATTTTTAAGTGAAAATTCAGTTTGGTTAAGCAGTTTTTTGTTTTTATGTGCAAAAAAAATCCAACTTATATGAATAATCAATTTTTGTAGTTGAGTGAATTAGGCAAAATTATAAGCAGAAAATTATTCTTAAACTTATATCATAAACATATTTGTTTAGCTCATTTGGACTAGACTGTGAGAACAATAAAAACCAGAAACATTTTTTAAGTTATTAACCTTAAACTCTTATTTTTTAGGCTCACAAGTGGAGACATATGAAGTATCACTTCTAAGTAAAGAATGCCTTGAAGTCATTGAGGCAGATAGTTACTGGTGTCTTTCAAAATTGTTGGATGGAATCCAGGAGAACTATACATTTGCACAGCCTGGTATTCAAAGGAAAATAAACACACTCAAGGATCTCATGAAACGTATTGATGGTTAGTTGAATACTTTGGCTGGTTAGTGAATACTTTCATTAGTGGCTAAAGGCTTGGTCGGTTCGACTGAGTTTGTGATCCCAAAGTGACTCTCAGAGTTTCCATACTATAGCCTTTAATATATTTTTTGTTTCTTCACACAATTTATCAAGCTTTCATTAGAACATTACAAGTATTTTCTACTAAAAAAAGCAGAATTTTTAATTAGATATTTTCACTAAACATTTGTCTGTGAACATAAGACGTTAAAGCATTGAATGCAAAGTGAGTTTCTTGTTATGACAAAAAATACTTTTCTTTATCTGATTATTGTGAAATTGTATTTGCATAATCTCTAGAACCTCCTAAATAAATGTCAGATTTTTGTTCCACTAAAACTTTATATTTTATTTGTTATTTTCTCTACTGTAACTCTAAACCTATTCATTCAATTTGACCGACCTCATAACCACCATTTAAAATGTGAAATAAAACTAATTTACCCTTTTTTCTTTCTAGAATTACTAACATTAAACTAAAATTGGTTATCCTAAGTAGCCTAAAGCTTGTAACAGTATACATCTATTTATACTTAATTTTAGTGTTTAATTGTCCTTTGAATTCTTACCATATGAAATTACATAATGCACAGCTGCTTGTGAACAATCCTTGGGAAGAATTTTTATTATTATTACTATTTTTCATTATCTTTCCTAATCTAATCTAACCTTACCTAACCTCGTAAGTTTTTAATTTGTACATTTTAGTTACTTTTATAATAATAAATAAAGAATACACATCAAAAACACGAAAATATAGTACTTACCTAGGTCCTTTTGTTTTTTTTTGCTGTCAACTGTTGATGAAATTTAAGCCCACTCTTTTTTATACTAATGGTACTGCTATGCTGAATAATTTTTATTTAACTAAATAATGCATCTAAGAATACAATAGCATGCATAAGGCAAAGAATGTCCTATAACTCATAATTGTTTTGGCTTTCTAACTATTTCGATAAAAGCTTTTAAAAATTCAGCTAAGCTTGTTGATGTGAGTACTATGGGAAAAACTTTTAAACTGGAGGTGAAATATACAGGAAACAATGTGATATAATATGTCATTTGATAGGTTAAGACCGTCTTTCTATGGGTTGCTTTCAGTTGGGCATGCTTCTCAACTCCAGGCTTCCTCTCTTTTGGTCCCCTGTTCTTTCAGCCTGGTCTGGTCTCACCTCTTTCGATATGCCTATTCTCTTTGTCTCCTCCTTCGAATCCTCACCTTGATATGTGACACACCTTGTCAAGTTCTATTTTTGGCGTCTCTTTGGCTAGTTCAGCTTTGGTTTCCTCTGCTTCTTCACTTATCATCCAGATCCCCCCTTCTTATTCCTAATATCTCCTCTATTACTTAAACCACACACATCCTTTTTCACCAAAAGATATCATCCCTCCATCTTCATGTGTGAGATTTGTCCAATCCATTGCCTCTCAGGCCAGACTATCTGATTGTGTGGCATTCTTCTTTTCACATTCCTGTTGCCCTTCCACCATGTCTGTCTATCAACTAGAGTGGTGGGTTTTTCATCATTGGTCCATCCACCACCATTTTCCTCGTGGTCATCCTACTGTGAACCTCTTTTTTTTTGCCTTTTTACCTGGCTGTTCATCCATGGATTCTTGGTTTCTACCATTGCCAGTTATCAGGCAGCCTTGTTCATTGCATTTTTTTTCTTTTCTGGTACTACAGGGTGTTTCTTCCCTTGTCCTCTCACTCTGTTCTACTCCTTTGTTCTTTTCTGACCTCCTAACCCTTCTCCCATTACTGACTAGGACCTTATTGTGGTCTTGCACACTCTTATCATGCCCTGTTCAAGCCATTGACTTCTTGCCCTTTCTACCATCTTTTTGTCCAGACTTATTTCCTCCTATTCGATTGTGATTGCCGTTGTTCAAATGTCTATGATTTTGATGCTTTACGCTCTTCCTCTGCATTGATATACTCATCTACTCAGACCAGTCTGTCATTCCTAAGGTTTTTACTACTTGGGAAGGTAACCATATTTTCTCTCCTATCTCCCTTTCTTCTGTCTCGTGTATAATTGTTTGGACCTAGATCAGTTTCAGTGTCCTCCTTGAGGTGGTTGGTGTTGCTTACAGGCTTTTCCCTTTTGGGGTCCCTGCATCACCTGTCCCTACCATGGGACTCCTCGTTTTCTAGGGACTTCTCTCCTTCTACCCTTACTGGATGGGTCTGTTAACTCCCCTGGTTAGCATATTCAGCTATGGATGTGGATGCTTGCAGGTTATATCTCATTTCTTCACATTTGATTTGTCACCTTTCTCATTCTCTTGCTTCTCTTCATGGTCTGGCTGTTTCATCTCTCACAGAATCTTGACTTTTCTGGTCATCATATTTCAATCTACCTACTCTCTCTGAAATAGGTACATATGTTTCCCTTTTCATTTCTCTCCTTTTCTGTCAAAAAGGATCCTGCCAGGTGGCTTTGTGTTTACCTTCCAGGAAAGTGCTCAAACCATCTGCCTTTGCTCTACCAGTACTCACAAAAAGATAAGGGTGCTCTGTAAGACTACTTGAGGTATCCTCGTGGTATACAAGTTTAGTCAACTGTACACTGAGTGGTCACAAGTAAATAGACACCTAATTTTTCGTCATTTAACTGATTTATGCTAACTGATTTGTGTTCACAGAGCACTATATAAATGAAAATGGTCCGCACACTAATTATCTTGTGCTACAACATGCCTAGAATTCAAGGGTCTCTCAAATTGTCAGATTTTGTTAGAGGAAGGATAGTTGGTCAAGCAGATGGTGGAATAAGTCAGTGGCAAATTTTGCAGAATTTGGGAATCCCACTTTCGACAGGCAACAGAATCATTGTGCAGATCAGGAAACAACTGAGCAGTGTCCAAGTCGTCCTGGTCCATCGGAGAGGACAAAAAGAGGACAATCTAAAACTGACAAGATGATTCTCACAATGCCCCAAAGGATCAACGAACTCCACAAAGCGAAAGGAAGATCTAATAGATATTAATTAAATTATAAATATATCAATTCACGTGAATATGACTGAAAATTTTCATTTTTTCTGAAAAAGTGGTGTCTATTTACTTGTGACCACTCTCTGTATAATCCAGACTGTAACAATTCCATGGTCTGTCATGGAAAAAGACAGCACCAGAGAAGTGACTCCCCACTTTTTTGTCTTGCACTTGCTGGCTTTAAAAAATAGGGATTCACAGTCACCTATTACACAGTCTCCAGTAAAAGACCTTTCTGGCTGGTGGTCCATTGGGGATCTGGGTATTTCTCCAGGTCTCCCCAATGCAAATCTTCCTCCTCCCCCACCTTTTTCAAGTGTAGCATGGTAGACCCTTGCCACTTACCAATTTCTAACCACTGAAATGGTGAATCATAGAGAATCCTCACTGGTTAAGCTTAGCACAATACTGTAAGAAGTAGAGTGGTGGGAAACTGTCAGGTAGTATGAGTCACCCCTTACAAACATAATACATAATTAATCTGACCTTCTCCTGTCTAGCAGAGTCAAGATGAACACATACTGTATGATGTGATCACACCCCATACATACTACACATATTGGCTTTCCAACCGCTTTTGGCATCCATATTCTCATTCTGCCCATCCCTGCAACATTTAGGGCTCATTTTCCTTTCGCCCCTTTCATTCCAGGCAAAGAATATTCCTTTATCAACACGAGATGCTGTCTCCCACAGGTGTCACATTCCAAGGGCTTCTCTTCAAGCACTTTCTAAAGGAAGCTCATCTTGGTAAATTTTTGAATCGGTTCCTTCTTCATTTCAAGGTGGAATTCTAGCATTTCTTGTGTGAGGAGGTCAGTTGTTATCTCCAAAGTTAACGACTTCCTTATCTGAAAATGTATTTCCACCACACACATTCGCATTTGTTATCCCCACTTCCAGTGCAATTTTTTTTGCCTGGTCAAAGAATAAAGTTATAGGAGGAGTTACTGCAGATAGAAGTTGTGTTGCTCTCCTATTGGTGGAGGGCTTTTGTCGCATCATGCACCAGCTCAGTTTGCAATAAACACTTGAATTTAAGTGGGAGCTACCTCAAGGCTAGTGGCATGCAAGTCTCCTAGGCAGATGCACAAGAAATATAGCATTGCTGTGTGAAGAGGTGAGTATCTATTAGAAGTACATTTTCAAATTAGGAAAACATTAACTTCAGAAGTTTTAAGCTTCCCCATGCAGTTCTCTCTCTAAATTGATGTTTTTATGTAGCTTGCAGGTTTAAGAAAAAACAATATATGCATCTTTGAACGCTGTCAAACTTAGAACTAATTTTGAAAATCAAAATTTCCTAATTTTTCTCTGTAAACCTTGAAAATCAGATACATTTCTATATGTAATGTAAACATAAACATTTAAACAGTTAAGTTAATATTTACATCAAAAGGAAAAACTCATTAAATACACCAAGACCAATCCTATGACCTTTTCCGTCTATATCTAGTTATTCTCAGCTTTGTGTGATCTTTTGAAACATATATTTTTATTCATCAGTCACCGAATATCTTGATCAAACATCTTTATTTTGCCTACATCATTACACAGTCATTTAGAATATCATTTCCACCTATTAACTAGTAAATATCTTGATCACAATTGTTTTTCCTTGGATTCATACATAAACAGCTAGAATGTTTGTGCTGAATATTTTTGTCAATCCTCTCCATACTTCCAGCACTCTTACATAAATACTTAGAATGTTGTTTGTGCTTATTAACCACTAAACATTTACTTCAATCTTCTTTGTTTTTTCCTGCATCCTCACATAAACATTTAGAATGTTATTTGTGCTTATTAACCACTGAATATTTTCTTCAATCCTCTCAATTTTTCCAGCACCCTTACATAAACACTTAGAGTGTCACACAGTGGAATATTTACAGTTTTCATTTCGATGGATGAATAATCTGCTGATGAGAGAGCTTCCATTAAGATGTACCATTAGATTGTGGGATACATACTTGGTAAGTATTCATGTTTGGTAATGGTTTATGTGGAAATGCTTACTATTTGTGTATAATATTTTGTATTTAAAGCTCATTTATCAATTTAAGGCTTTCCATTTTCAAAACACTGGAGGTGTATTAGTTCACATATTTCTGTAAAGTAAAGCACCTGAAATAGATTTTTTTTTTCTCTACAGTCAGAATCTGATGGTTTCTCAACTTTTCACCTGTATGTGTGTGCTGCCTTTTTAAAACATTGGTCAAAAGATCTTCTGACTGAAAAGGACTTTCAGGTAAGGTTTTTAATATGCTTATTAAAGCTTAAAAATTATATTTATATATATGTGCTATTATTAGAAACATTTTAATCTTCATTTGAAAAAGGAATAGCATAGAAACCTGTCGTCATAGTCCAAACTTGTTGCACTTCTGTTGAAATGTATTAATGAACTTTGCACAGTGATTAGGAAGAATGCCCTGTTTCTACGTTTGTCCTGCTACTACCTAAAAACTACTAAGTTATGTGGTCTTGTATAAGATAAAACCATATTTTTACAGTTGTTTACTTTTAGACTAGAATAATGTTTACACTAGGGACATGTGCAGCAAACTAGCTTTAATAGAAAAGTTTCTGCAGTGTGCTTCCATAGAGCAATTATCTATCATGTTTAACTAAGCCGGAATTTAGTAAAGTAAGA